ATACTAAACTGTAGACTACAGCTTCACAAACCAGGTGTGATGTGCAGGAGTTTCATTAGAGGAGTGTGCTGGTGTGTTGTGATAGTGCTCTGAAGGGGGAGTGACTTTCCAAAACAATAAAAGGTAACACGGTGATCTAAATATGTTACGTGTTAGCACTCAATACATAAGGTGCATTATGGAACTTTTGTGGTAGATGGTCCGTCATCTGCTTGTTTCTATGGATATGATTTTAAAGTTGTGTTTTTAGTTTATAAAGCTCTTAATGGTCTTTAGTCTTATTTATTTATCTGATTTGCTTTTATCACATGAGCCTCTTGGACTTTCAGGTCCTCAGGTCTCATCTTTAACTGTCCCAAGAAGCCAAACTAAAACTCACAACGAGTTTTACTGCCTCTTTGGAACAGTCCATCTGACGATCAGAGATTTTATTTTTTATTTTTTATTTTTTGGGGGGGAGGGGGGGATTTTCATTTTTCTTCAGAGACGAGGTCAGGAATCAGAATAGAACTAGACGGTTCACAAAAACCCCGGAAGTGCGAGTTGGGGCACCAGTCAATCAGCGAAGAGCCATATATTCTGTGTTGGCAACGATTCCCGAGGTCGAGGATTTAAAGTCGGAACAAAGAGAATGTTTGGTGAATTTTATCAAGGGGAAAACTATATGAAGCAAATATTCAAACCAGTTTGTTAAGGATATGTAAGTGAGAACCAAGAGTTATCACTGTTTGGATTTATTGACCAAAAAGTGCTGCATATTTCATTCCCTCCGTTACCAACATGAGTTTTTAAAATTTTTTGTCAACAACTTGAAAGAATATCACAGGTTTAACTTGACCCTGTTGGAGTGTAACTCTTTCCTAGATTCTGATACTTTACTTATTTCAATAGTCCCTCTAGTTTCTGAATAAGAGACATTTGAATGTCAAAAATCTGCCCCTGTTTCCCTCTGTTACTGCTTGACCAGACCCATATGTCACGACCAAACAGCAGCGATTGGTTAAATGAAAAAAGTACTCGCCTACCTTCAAGTGAACGAATTCTCACACTGCAAGGTCAGACAGTTTGTACGAAGGGTCTCCATGAAGATAGAAAGGTTTAATGCCATGCTGTGAAAAAGCAATAACGTCTCCATGGAGAAAAGCATTTGACGGACGCTCCAACAGAAAAGTTACACAATGCACCTTTAAACACAGCATCTCTTCTGGCTTAACTTGTCATGTATTTAAAAACCTACAAACGGCGCCCATTTAGAATCTGGTTCTCTCTTTTCCCCATTCTTCTTTTCGTTCACCATTCACCATCTTTCACCTTTTTCTCTTTCACCATTGACTTCTTAAATGATGCTGTCAAACTAGCAACAAGATACAATGCTTTTTTCTTCTTCTTTTTTTTGACACACTAACTGAAAGAACCACAGAAAATAATTAGAATCTGTTAGTTTGCTTTCTTATGTCTCCGAGCGTTGATGTTAAAAGATTCACAGTTCCAGTCAAATACATTGTTATTGTGGAGTTTGACAGGGAAAGGCGGCGGAGAGAGCGGGATATTAGAGGGAATGTGATCAATTATAGAAATATATGAAAGATTCCGTTGAAGTCACTTGAAATGAGTAAAAAGATGCAAAAATGGTAGAGATGACGGCGTTCCTTCTGGAGGTTTCTGTTGCTCGGATTAAAGTCGATCTGATGTGAACGTGTGATAATATAAAATGTTTGAAATCACACTTGAAACTCCTGATGAAGACTGTGAGGTGTTAAGTTTTTGTCATCAGAGTTGTGTTGCTTGAGAAAAACTCTTGGAAAAGTTAAGTTTAGTTGAACCCAGAAAACATTTTGCTTAACTACGGTACATCTTAAAATTCACATGCTACACTGAGGAACATTCTGGACAAAGCAGTGATACGACACATTTGTGAACATAACGGACGGAAATGAGCATCTGGCTAAAATCCAGAGTGTTCACATTCAGGTTGTGTCATGTCTGTCCAACATGAACTGTCCCAATCAAATCAGGAATAAATATGACTTAGACTTAGACAAACTTTATTGATCCACAAGGGAAATGATTTGAACACAGCAGCTCACACATCACAATATAATAGAATAAGAAAGAGAAAACAAATATAAATGGTAATTATAAATTCTAAATAAGTAGCAAAAAGGTTGCAAGAAACACATGTCAAATAAGATATAAATAAATATGTATAAGTCAACATAAAATAGAAAAATAAGTAATAAAATGTAAAATCTCAGCTATCGACAGGACATAAGGTTATCTGTAACGTAAGGGTGAGTTGTTGTACACTTGAAGGGAGTATTATGAGCAGGAGTGTCCATGATGAAGACCAGTTTGTCCAGTGTCCTCGTGTCCCTCACCGTGACAAATGTCTCCAGCTCACAGTGGATCACATGAGCAGCTTTACGGATCAGTTTGTCAATTTGCCCAATGTCCTTTTCCTGGAGCTGCTCCCCAGCAGAACACAGTGAAGTTCAGGGCCCTGGCCCCACAGACTGGGAGACAATCTCCCAGGTACTTGTAGCAGTCACTGTTTCCACGTCATGGCCCTGGATGGTGATGAGCTCCACTGGTGTCTTCTTCCTCCTGGAGTCAATCACCAGTTCCTTGGTCTTGTCGACATTCAGGAGCACAGCACCCCACTCCTCATCACACACATTTATATCTTTAACTGATGGTTATTGAAGTAGTTGTGTGTTTGTGTATCCTCAGTTAACAGTGTGTGTTTGTGTGTTAACAAAGTGTGTTTCTGTGTTGACAGTTAACAATATGTGTATATTCTGTGTGTATTTTTTTGTCCACAGTTAACAGTGTGTGTGTTTGTGTGTTGTGTGTGTGTGTGTTTGTGTGTTAACAGTGTGTGTGTTTGTGTGTTCACAGTTAACAGTGTGTGTGTTTGTGTGTTGTGTGTGTTAACAGTGTGGTGTGTTTGTGTGTTAACAGTGTGTGTGTGTGTGTGTTTGTGTGTTAACAGTGTGTGTGTGTGTGTGTGTGTGTTTGTGTGTTCACAGTTAACAGTGTGTGTGTTTGTGTGTTCACAGTTCACAGTGTGTGTGTTTGTGTGTTAACAGTGTGTGTGTTTGTGTGTTCACAGTTAACAGTGTGTGTGTTTGTGTGTTCACAGTTAACAGTGTGTGTGTGTTTGTGTGTTAACAGTGTGTGTGTTTGTGTGTTAACAGTGTGTGTGTTTGTGTGTTAACAGTGTGTGTGTTTGTGTGTTCACAGTTAACAGTGTGTGTGTTTGTGTGTTCACAGTTAACAGTGTGTGTGTTTGTGTGTTCACAGTTAACAGTGTGTGTGTTTGTGTGTTCACAGTTAACAGTGTGTGTGTTTGTGTGTTCACAGTTAACAGTGTGTGTGTTTGTGTGTTCACAGTTAACAGTGTGTGTTTGTGTGTGTTAACAGTGTGTGTGTTTGTGTGTTAACAGTGTGTGTGTTTGTGTGTTCAGTGTGTGTTAACAGTGTGTGTGTGTTCACAGTGTGTGTGTGTTTGTGTGTTAACAGTGTGTGTGTGTTTGTGTGTTCACAGTTAACAGTGTGTGTGTGTGTGTGTTGTGTGTTCACAGTTAACAGTGTGTGTGTTGTGTGTGTGTTAACAGTGTGTGTGTTTGTGTGTTCACAGTTAACAGTGTGTGTGTGTGTTCACAGTTAGTGTGTGTGTTTGTGTGTTCACAGTTAAGTGTGTGTGTGTTTGTTTGTGTTTCACAGTTAACAGTGTGTGTGTTTGTGTGTTAACAGTGTGTGTGTTTGTGTGTTAACAGTGTGTGTGTTTGTGTGTTCACAGTTAACAGTGTGTGTGTGTGTGTGTTAACAGTGTGTGTGTTTGTGTGTTCACAGTTAACAGTGTGTGTGTTTGTGTGTTCACAGTGTGTGTGTGTGTTCACAGTGTGTGTGTTTGTGTGTTAACAGTGTGTGTGTTTGTGTGTTAACAGTGTGTGTGTTTGTGTGTTCACAGTGTGTGTCACAGTGTGTGTGTTTGTGTGTTCACAGTTAACAGTGTGTGTGTTTGTGTGTTCACAGTTAACAGTGTGTGTGTGTTTGTGTGTGTTAACAGTGTGTGTGTTTGTGTGTTCACAGTTAACAGTGTGTGTGTTTGTGTTCACAGTTAACAGTGTGTGTGTTTGTGTGTTAACAGTGTGTGTGTGTGTTTGTGTGTGTTCACAGTGTGTGTGTGTGTGTTGTGTGTGTTAACAGTGTGTGTGTTTGTGTGTTCACAGTTAACAGTGTGTGTGTTTGTGTGTTGACAGTGTGTGTGTTTGTGTGTTCACAGTGTGTGTGTTTGTGTGTTCACAGTTAACAGTGTGTGTGTTTGTGTGTTCACAGTTAACAGTGTGTGTGTTTGTGTGTTAACAGTGTGTGTGTTTGTGTGTTCACAGTTAACAGTGTGTGTGTTTGTGTGTTAACAGTGTGTGTGTTTGTGTGTTAACAGTGTGTGTGTTTGTGTGTTCACAGTGTGTGTGTTTGTGTGTTAACAGTGTGTGTTGTGTGTGTGTTGTGTGTGTTCACAGTGTGTGTTGTGTTCACAGTTAACAGTGTGTGTGTTTGTGTGTGTTAACAGTGTGTGTGTTTGTGTGTTTGTGTGTTCACAGTGTGTGTGTTTGTGTGTTAACAGTGTGTGTGTTTGTGTGTTCACAGTTAACAGTGTGTGTGTTTGTGTGTGTTTGTGTGTTCACAGTTAACAGTGTGTGTGTTTGTGTGTTCACAGTGTGTGTGTTTGTGTGTTCACAGTTAACAGTGTGTGTGTTTGTGTGTTAACAGTGTGTGTGTTTGTTGTGTGTGTTCACAGTTAACAGTGTGTGTGTTTGTGTGTTCACAGTTAACAGTGTGTGTGTTTGTGTGTTCACAGTTAACAGTGTGTGTGTTTGTGTGTTCACAGTGTGTGTGTGTGTGTGTTCACAGTGTGTTTGTTTGTGTGTTCACAGTTAACAGTGTGTGTGTTTGTGTGTTCACAGTTAACAGTGTGTGTGTTTGTGTGTTCACAGTTAACAGCGTGTGTTCACGGTGCGGCGGCTCTGCTCTTCCCCATGTTCTGGCAGCACATCTTCATCCCAGTGCTGCCTCCTCATCTGCTCGACTACTGCTGGTGAGACACTCCCCTATACTGCTCTTCTGAATACTACATACTCTATACTATACTCTATACTCTATACTACATACTCTATACTCTATACTCTATACTCTATACTCTATACTCTATACTCTATACTCTATACTCTATACTATACTCTATACTCTATACTCTATACTCTATACTCTATACTCTATACTACTATACTCTATACTCTATACTGTATACTCTATACTCTATATATACTCTATACTCTATACTCTATACTCTATACTCTATACTCTATACTGTATACTGTATACTCTATACTCTATACTCTATACTATACTCTATACTGTATTCTCTATACTCTATACTCTATACTATATACCAGGCATGTCCAAACTATGGCCCGGGGGCCAAATGCGGCCCTTGGACACATTTTTCTTGGCCCTCAGGCTTCCAAGTGAATTGGCCCAAATTACCTTACATCAACCAAAAAAAAATTTATTGCAAGTTTTTTGAAAATTTACCTTGATAAAGCTAATAATTAATATTTAGTGTGTGGTTTTAATGATCTTAGCATGAATAAAGTCTGACAGCTCACTCTAATATGTTAAACATGCAAATATTTCAATTATTCACTGCATTGAGCATCAGTCTACGGCCCTCGATCGGCCCTCTGTGTCATCTGTGTTTAGATATGTGGCCCGTGATGAAACAAGTTTGGACACCCCTGCTATATACTATACAGTGTACAGCTGGTGAGACTCAGCACTGGACTGAGCCTGGACTGAAACTACAATGGCCATTTTTCAGGAATAGTTTCCTGAAAAGGTTTGTAATAAACACACACAGTTCCTCCTGTATATTTCCTCAGAGGTTTTCAGATGTCAGACAGTTGTTCCTCAACAGTCAAGCAAAATAAACATGTGTGTTATGCACAGTGGCTGAGTAGCTAGCACTTTGGCCTCACAACAAGATGGTTCCAGGTTGGACTCCCTTTCTGTGTGGAGTGTGCATGTTTCTCCTTGTGTCTGGGTGAGTTTTTTTCAACCCAAGATCTGGAGCTGGGTCTCTGGGCATCACAGAGCAGCTCTCGTGCTCCTCACACGTTTAACCAAGCAGCATTGAAGATCAGATCAAATATTGAACCTCAAAACTCCAAAAAGATGATTTAACTGCAAATTTCCCCTTAAAATGACACAGTGTCGATCCGATCTGAAACCCTTTTGCTAACATGGTGCACTCCTCCCTCCTCTTCTGGTTGTTCATGCTCTTCTCTCTCTCACACTTTCCCATGTGGTCCCTGACATGAGCCGAGCCTCCACACTCACCCCCCTCCTGCCTCTCGTTCCCCCACCACAGGAGCCCTCGGTGGGTTAGTCCTGCGCTGCTCGGGCCTGTGTGGATTCAGCTGGTGTAGAGAGAACAGAGCGTGGTCACATCTGCACAGACCTCTCTCATGTGGACTCACTTTCAGTTGCCTCGTCTCAGTGGGGAATATTAGAGGAGAAAGTGAGGCTGAGTTAAGTACGGTTCATGACATGGACGCCTTGGGTCCATTCTTCTCAAAGTCTGAGGATTCCTGTCTGATCAGAGAGTCTCAGACTTCACTCTCCACAGACACTTCCTCCAGTTCTTATGGGAGGATCCTGAGATGTTCCCAGGTCAGCTGAGACACATAGTCCCTCCAGTCTGTCCTGGGTCTGACACAGGGAGGGCATCTGACACACAGAGTCCCTCCAGTGTGTCCTGCGTCTCCCCTCCTCACAGTGGGATCACCTCAGCTGCTTCTCTCCGCATGAAGGAGCAGCGTCTCTACTCCGAGCTCTGAAAATAGACTCAATTTGCCGTGTTTGTGACGGCTGTAGGTCCCTGTCAGACGACACCTGCAGTTTGTGTTTACATTGAGCTCTATAGGAAAATACTTTGTGGTCCACTAGTCCAACTCATGACAGGTTTAAGACAGAGCACAGACTGTATAAAGAAGTGGACTAAGTGAGTGTGACGTCACCCACAATGTTCAGCACCATTCAAATGAAGCTCACAATGCTCCCGGTTACGAGGCGAATTTGGAGCAAAAAAAATAATAATAAAAAAACCCACAATACAATACAAACTTTTAAGACCAAATTGATGAGGCTCACTGCAGCAGTCACAGAGAGAGGGACGAAAATATTCCAGTATAGAAAAACATAGACAATGGGAGCCACAGTCAGTAAGAGCTGGAAGAGCCACCTGAGAACTTCATATCTGAAACTCAGCGTCTAATGTGTTAGCTATGTCCATTTATATACACAGTCTATGAGACAGATCCAGATATATGAACAGATCCATATGTGCAGCAACCATGTTTACCAGATATTACCTCTAAACTCTACCTACATATTCAAAGTATAACTGCAAGATTCATTGCATTTGGCTCTGTCCACAGCAGCACTCTAGAAGATAACACAGGGTGACCAGATGTCCTCTTTTTCCCAGACATGTCCTCCTTTTGGGACCCAAAAAAATGTCTGGGAGGAATTTTTCAATTATCCCAAAATGTCCAGGATTTTGACTCTACCAGTTGACAGCTTTGAATGGGACACTTTTCTTATTTTTGGCGACAATCTTGGCTCATCTGATCAGATACAATCATGGATCTACAATAAGATCTTATTATACTTCCATGGACACAATCACCGGCTCTTCTCCAGCAGAACTCTACCTTCTCTCTCACTGAGAGTGCACAGAGCGCTCCTTTGCTCAGAAAACTCTCCTACATTTATAAAGTGTATTATTACAAATTCATATTAGCTACTGTGGAGAGGCTGGATGATCATAACACAATACTCCATGACTTAAACTCTGCTCCACTTTTTATTTGATGAAAACGGACCTCATATTAATAATGAAATACAATAAATTGTCCAAAATTCCCTGAGAGGACCCCAGACCCCCTGACACACATAACATCATACATTTCTAATTTTAAATTCAAACACCATTGTTTTTTCATTCCTGAACTCAGTGTCCACCTTTTTGATAAACCCAATCTGGTCACCATAGATAACAGTCACTTTTATTAAAAGTGTAACATTTGAAATAAACAACCAATTTACATTCATTAATTAAAGTTACCCAATTGTTTTTATGTGTAGAATACTTCAGTTTGTGGTTTAGCACTGAGACACAAACCTCTGTCTTTCTAAAAGCGGAAGTGTCCTCCACTGAAGTATTCATTTTATTTGTGTACATCTAACCACAACTCGCTGTCCAACCTGTAGATTCAACTTCGAAAAATGTTCTGTTTGTTAGGGTGACCATATTTCCGTTTGTGAAAACCTGGACACCTTACCAGGGGAGGGGGGTGGGGCCTCGACATTGAGCTACTCTCACCTCGCAAACTGTGCACATGGACTCACACTTGTCTCGACCGGGACAGAAAACAGGGAATTTCTTGTCCAAGTCATTGTTAAATGTGCATTTGTGCTTCAGCGTGTTGCAGACTGACCGACTCCTTCTGAGTCACAGAGCGACGAGAGACGCTCAATTTAATGGCTCCAATGAAAGATCATGAAAATCTGAATATTTCCATCACTTAAAAACGCTTAAATGCCCAGGACAGGATGCAAAAAAGGACATGTCCGTTGGTCGCCCTACTGTATGGAATTCTTGTCTTAGTCCTGCATGTTTGGGTAATACTGTATTGTCCAATATTTAAAACGTGAGCTCATCAAAAAACTGCTGTTTTCCCCTACCCCCTATCCCTCCTCACCCCAGAACATCTGCAGAGCTCATCCAGGATTCTAAAAACACTGAACATGAAATACAAACATCCAGGTTCATTAGTGGATCTGAGATGTTCCAGTGTTTATCAGATAACAGAGATTTACTTTCAGTCTCTCCATCACTGACAAAACAATCTGAAGGCTGCTCCAGAGCCTCCACCGCGCAGGAGCTGATCAGATCATGTTCACGCTAACACACTGGCTTTATTCGATAACAGAGCTGTATTAGCCGTAGCTGCTGCGCGCTAATGTGCAGCTCTGGAATGACACAAACACACTGCAGACTTCATTTGTCCATAAACACATTATCAGTGTTGAAGTGTGCTGCTGGGCTTGGGTTGGGTGTACACAGGTCTGTATTGATACTTTGCAGCTGATGTCATCCACATTCCCTGGGGGTGTGACGCTAACTGGAGGCATGGCTCTGTTTGAGGCTTATTACAGTTGGTTATGTAGAAGTAAACAGCAAGGCCAAAAATTCAAGTGAATTCATCTGATATAAAACTGTATTGGACAGATACATATGTACTCTAGTTTATGAAACTGTTGACCTTTTTTCTGTACCATTTTTGGTTCTAAAGTTCCATATGTTTTAAACAGACCATGTATGAAACATGGAACAAAAATTATTTCCCAAATTTCAAAGACCTGCAAATCATGTCAATAAATGTTTGTATTTCATCATATCTTGTGTTATTCCATCTTTGAACTGTTGATGAAGGGACAGGATTTTAAAAAAAAAAAAAGTATTTAAAATGATAAAAATTTGCTTGGAAGGACTGACATATTTTATAGAAATAGTTTCCTTTCATTTTGTAGTAATATTAAAGTATTTGGAAGAAAAAAGTTGACAAATTATCCAAAATCCTGCACCTTCTACTTGTTGCACAATTTTCCCTCCGTTACTTTTCCCTCCGTTACCATGACCTTTCTTAATAAAAAATCTCATGAGTCAAAAAGTAAGAGGTTTTTCAACCTAATCTTGTACCATATGGTAGAAAACTATATGAAGCAAATATTCAAACCAGTTTGTTAAGGATATGGAAGTGAGAACCAAGAGTTATCACTGTTTGGATTTATTGACCAAAAAGTGCTGCATATTTCATTCCCTCCGTTACCGACATGAGTTTTTAAATTTTTTGTCAACAACTTGAAAGAATATCACAGGTTTAACTTGACCCTGTTGGAGTGTAACTCTTTCCTACATTCTGATACTTTACTTATTTCAATAGTTCCTCTAGTTTCTGAATAAGAGACATT